AATACTTCCAAGAAATAAATAACAGAAACTTTGGAGATATTGACGGTGTCACCGTTTACTTTGATGATATTTGCATTTCAGCAGAAACAAATGAAGAACATGACAAAATATTAAAACAAGTACTTACGAGGGCCCGAAAACTAGGAATAAAATTTAACCAGAATAAAATTCGCTATAAGATGACGGAAGTAAAATATCTGGGCCATGTTTTTTCAAAGGAGGGCATGAAAATTGACCCTGAAAGAGTCAGAGCAATTAAGGCCATCAAAAATCCTAAATCAAAAATTGAAGTACAAAGAATACTTGGAATGATAAATTATGTTAGACAGTACATACCGAATTTAAGTAAATTAACAGCCCCACTACGAGAATTGCTAAAAGATAGTGTTGAGTTTTACTGGTTTGAGTATCATTCGTAGGCTCTACAAGAAATAAAAATAGCCATGAAAAAGGCCCCTGTTCTTGCAAATTTCAATGCGAACAGGCAAATCTTCATCCAGTCTGACGCGTCAGGATCCGGTCTGGGATGTTGTTTGCTTTAAGATGAGAAGCCCGTGTTTTTTGCATCTAGAAGTTTAAGTGAGTCCGAAAAGAACTATGCAGTAATAGAAAAAGAACTCCTTGCTATAGTATTTGCCACCAATAAGTTTCACCAATTCGTTTACGGGCGCAAAGTTCACGTGTTGACCGATCATAAACCGCTTGTTAACTTGTTAAATGTAAAAAATATAGGAGACATACCATCTCCTACATTTCAGCGAATGAAAATAAAACTCCTAAGGTATGAAATAGTAGCAAAATACTATGTACCAGGAAAACTCATGCATGTTGCAAACCTGCTGTCAAGATCGCACTTAGAAGAAGCGATTGATGAGAATAATTGGATTTCGGAGGTGGTACACTCGATAAGCACTAATCTGAACATATCAGAAAAGCAGAAAAGAGAAATTCAGGAGGCTACAGAATTGGATCCCATATTGAGTGAAGTTATAGAATACTCCCTTCTAGGTTGGCCGAAAGCTAAGTCTGGAGTTAGGAATGATGTCAAGTTTTACTTTAAATATCAGAATGAGCTAAGTGTTCAGGACAATATGCTTTTCTTTAACTATCGGCTGGTCATACCGAGTTCATTGCGACAAAATATGCTGAAGCTGTTACACGAGTCTCATTTAGGAATTGAAAAAACAAAAGCCAGAGCAAGGCAACTAATTTATTGATCGGGTTTCATGAATGAAATTGAGAATATGATATTGAAGTGCGCCACCTGCGAGAAGTACAGATCTTTGAACAACAGGGAGCCATTAATAACGCATGATATACCGGACATACCGTTCAACAAGATTGCTTGTGATATCTGTGAATGCGCGGGAAATGATTATCTTATAATACAAAACTATTACTCGAAATGGTTGGAAATATTAAAACTAAAAAACAAGACTGCCGGTGAGGTCATACTAAACCTTAAAAAAGTATTTGCAACTCATGGAATACCAAAGACTATAATATGTGACAATCAACCTTTCTCCTCCTATGAACTTAAAGTCTTCGCACAACAGTGGAATTTTGATGTCGTCACGAATTCTCCACACTACCCCAGGAGCAATGGTCAAGCTGAAAGGGCGGTTCAAATGGCCAAGAAAATACTAAAAAAATGCATTGAAGAGGACAAGGAATTAGATGTAGCATTATTGGAATATCGCAATACTCCCATAACAGGCCTTACTGTGTCTCCAGCATAAGTGCTTTTTAGTAGACGAACAAGAACAAAAGTTCCGATCCATTCGGAGCTACTCAAGCCAAAAGTTGAGTCACAGGCTCATCAACAAATTGAAAAAAGACAAAAAATTTACAAATATTATCATGACAGGAACTGCAAACCCAGGTATAGTTTGAACGTCGGCGAGGATGCAGTCATATTTAATAAAAATAATAAAAAATGGGAATCGGCAAAAATCCTTCAGAAACACAGGAGTCCTAGGTCATATATTCTACAAAATCAAAATGGTAACGTAATAAGAAGGAATTCTGTCCATTTAAAAAAATCATACAACAAATACAAAAGGATACAGGAACAAGACCACTGGGATGAACTACAAGATACAGATTGTAATAGAGCCAGGATTGATGGGAGTGATCAAGTGAGAGATCATAACCAACGACCAGATGCGGCTGCTAATGAGCCTGCCAATCAAGCAAGAAGTCAGGAGAATAATAATGCTATGACTACGAGAAGTGGACGAAGAGTGACGGAGCAGTCAAGATACAAAGACTACTATAAATACTAATAATATCACAAACAGGTGAAGGGGAAGGTGTGATGGTTGGTCACACTGTGTCAACTAGTCACTAGAGTTTTCTGTGAATGTTGGTAGCCAAGCAGCCCGCCAAAAGGGGCTGAGAGAGCGTCGTATGACTTCCATTCCTGATGTACATACGCAGTCACGTGTATCTCATATAATTAATAAATAGCTAGTATTTGTCGTACATGAATTGTGTTACACCAATTATTACATCTTCCGTGTCGATGGACCTTCCCAATTTTTGTAAGGTGTTCTTGCACTGTGGTCCATGCTACACTTAACACTTCTACAATCTCTGCAATTATTAAACACGGGTTTTCTTCAACTACGGCTCTTATAAGATGTCAGGCAGACGCGACATTACTTCCGGTACCCCTAATACTTATTGGTAGCAATACAAGACAATCTTATATTACTACCACATCTTTAAATTTATCACTAAATAATAAAATGAACATATGAATATTTAAAATGTATATATTTTGCAATAACGGATTTTCTGCAGATTCTAAAGGCTAATTGCGAATTTAATGATTATCAGACCACTTATGGCCAAAATAAAATAATTGTGGTCGTCTTATTATATTTGACGTTCTATTATCTATGATTTATCATTATTAATGTTCTATCTTAGTTTTACAACTTTATTTTTCTCTAAAGTAACACTGTTTCATATTACTATCCCAATTTCTATTAGGCCAAATTCGCCATCAATTAGAAAAAGTGAAAAAAATAAACAGTAGTCTAAAATTTAATTCCGCATGAAATTGTCCTTTCTCTGTTTAATTTTTCTATTTATGATTATTCTGACGATGAGTCATACGAAATATAAACAGAAGATAACACGCTCAACGCGATTATTCTGTTCTAATCTCTTTCTAAATATTATAGTGGATTCAGGAAATCACATGAGATCCGAAAATACTGCTGTAAATGTTAGAAATACAAACGTAAAATTGTTCGATCGCAAAATAGCCGGGAATATCATAAGAAAAGTTGTAACGTTTTGTGATAAGTGTAAAACTGAACCTCGTTTATGTTTAGAATGTTTTCATAAATTACATTAAGAAATGTAAACGTGTTATTTCTATATTACATTAATTACCAAGTTTATTAGATAAGTTTGACATTGTTCGATACCTAAATGAAAAGTACATCAGTCCCTAGGGACCGATGCCGCCCTAGCGGAAAGGTCAATGTTGGTCCCCAAAAACGTCGTACCTGTTACGACCAGCCTCCTAAACGTACGACAATTGAATTCTTCCCACGACCGGACACCTAAACATCATGTTACGACCACCTACTTAAATATTCAATAAGACGTGTTCTCACGGACAACCCACCCTGTTAATCATCAACCTCACCGGCCCCTTCTCCACCACCAACTAATAATAAAAAGACCTCACCGGACATAAGCAATTAGTTAGTCGGAATCATACTGTAAAATAAAGTGCCAAACTCTTAAAAGTGTTATTCATTTATTTCTTAAAATCCTGTGAACTTTCTACGTGACATACCCAACGTATTAAACCCTAGTACAAAGATGGAGAATAGGGTCAACGGGGTGGGAGCAAGGTGAGGTGCAGAGTGACCGTTTAGAAAAATAAAGACCAGAATAAGACTTGTCACCCACTTATTTAATTAGTTCTCATAGTCAAAACGATTGCTAATAAAAGCCAAGCCAATTTAAAATACAAATTCAGGTTTTGTTCTTTTACACCAACAAGTGGGTGGTCCTTTGACACGCTTTAGGCACTTTATGCAATACTCGAGTGCATGAACATCAGTGAGCTGTGTTTTAACAATAATTTATTTGCTTAAGTAAGCATTATTTTATTTTGAAATGAAGGAATAATCCTTTGGCATAAATAATGATCCAAAATAAATTTTACAACCAACAGTTTTACGTTTTGGCTTCATTTTACCACCTTCAAGAATAGTAATTTGTATTATCAAATAATAATTATATAAAGAAGAATAGTAATTTGTATTATCAAGTAATAATTATATAAAAATGAATAGTAATTTGTATTATCAAATAATAATTATATAAACATTATTTTCTGGTTACATTATGCAAATATTAATCTTTTAAACTCAATTTATAACACTTTTGTGTACTAAAACTAATAATTTTCACCTGAATTCTATTTAACTTTCTACAGATAGACAAATAAATTGTTTTTCTTCTTTCTACTCAATAAATGTATTATATATAATGTATGTACATATGTTTTTAACTATTTGCCTAGTTCTGAGGGCAATCACCAATTTATAGTATTAAAAGACTAGAAATGATTTGTACTGTAAATGATTTGAATTGATTAGTACCTATTCATTGATTGATGATAATAGCAAAATTACATTAAATAAGCAGCCATGAAGAAAACATGGTTTAATATCAGTGTATCCATTTGCTAAAATATAATATTTACAGAATGTTGACATAAAATTTTCAAAGAACCTTTCTTGATTCCGTTCGCTTACACGAACCTATGAATAAAAGCAGCTTTCACCATGCAATAGTGAAAGCTCTCAAACTGAACAACATAACACATCTATTTAATCGTAAATGATTATCCTTAAGTTTATCTAATTATTTTATTGTATTTTATAAAAACTATATATTATCATTATTATTATCATTATTATTAAACCCTTTGAAATATTACTAAATAAGATTTATATTGATCAACTAACCACAACAAATGTTATTAAAGCATGGTTCAGTTTCGTTTTTTCTTCTGCAACAGGACATATTTATTTATGAAATCACAAAAAATTTAATTTTCGGCAATAATTTTCTCATTTAGCTACATTTTTGGTATGTATTACAAACTAAATGTATTTTGTATTTTTTCAATGACATATTATTATTAATGTTTAAAAAGATGTAAAATATGATAGAATTGAAGATTTTCTACTGTTTTGTTTAATCTTTTTTAAACAGTTAATGTAAAAAAGAGTGTTAACAGGTCGATCATTCATGTTACACATTAAGATTATTTTTAACCTTAATTTTAAAAACTAATTTTAGCAAATCAAAAAATGTTTTCATAAGAAGTAAATTGTATAAATAAAAATTTAACAAATTTAAAATGACACTTTTCATTGCAATTATCGTAATAAGTTACTATATTCATGTTTAACGTAAACATTTGGTTAAATCAAAATATCATTTTATAGATTATTTCATAGTTTTAAAAATTATCATATATTATCATACATTAGCGTACATAAATAATTTAACTGTAAAAATTCGAATTTACACACACTTTATACAATTTGTTGTGAAACATAAAGAGAATCAACAAATTGTTGTGCCCTCGGTGCATAAGGTTATGTGGGATGCTTGGGTTCTAGAGTGGTTAAGGAATTTTGAATTCACCGTACGTTGAGTGTGACGAGAATAGGTTTATTATGACTTTTCATTCGTTCTAATACACGCGTGGCTAAAGACTCTATTGAACTTCTTTGCGAACTCTGTCTTCTGGGCGTCTTTTACCCTTTTTATGACCTTTTTACCAAGGCTTACTAGTGGGGATGACCATATTTGGTCAACCGTCACACGTTGCGCAAACGCTGAATTTACATTTCTTGATCCGCGAGAAGACGTTCGCTCGGACGATCTGATGGTATAATTCCAAGCACATATAATATTGCGTGTTCGCAATCCTAGGAGTAATGCTGGGCACAGCATCCCTCCCCCTTGGAGAGAGAGAGCCTACAACGAGCACAGCAAAATAATTAATAGCATATTAATATTTAGCTAAAAAGTTGTTACGAGCCGGAGGGGATGGCTGCGTAGCCGGGGCTTAATTTCGGTTATGGTATTGTTAATGGCTTAACCAGTACTGTTATTAACACTGGGAGCCAAAGGAAGTAGACGCGGAGATGAACCTACGTATGGCTAATGAAGGTAGCCGCTGGAAATGTTAGTATTAGGTCTCGGAACTTGATTAGTGTACCTCGAGCGGTAAAGATACATCTTAGTGGGTTTTCCGGACTAGTCAATATAATTGAACTGTCTGAGCGTTCATTAAAAAATGTTTATAAAACGTGCACGACATGGACCACCCGAAAGTTCGTTTCTGAGAAATAGATAACGTCGGAACGTTTGGAGGGAAGGGGTGTCGCCTTTGCCTTAATAAAACAGTCGTCAACGCACTTCGGTCGCGATCGGTCGAACGGTTTTCATTTTGTATCGCGTAGTTGGTTTTCAATAGTTTTTTTCCCACGATTACGTAAATTCACTACCATGCATTATCATCACGCCCAGGGCCCTGCCGGCAACAATCAAACATCATCTAACGTCTCTGACGACGCGACGTCTGGACGTCTCCCTATTCAGGAGACTCCAACGGAACCTGGTTTCCGTATCATCATGATTGGACGCCTCTCTGCGCAGGAGACTCCTACGGGAATTGTTTCCCGAAAAAGCCGGTATCACGCGATTAATAAATCGCTAATGGGCGCCCGACTTTCGTGTACACGATATCATCTATATCACACGCGGCACACTCACACACATAGTATCAATTCATACAACTCAAATTTCAAAGGCTTTTTATGCCTTCAGGCTTTTCCCCTTTATCAAATAACATCAAGAGTTTTTTATGCCTTCGAGCTTTTTCCCTTCCATAATATCACGAAATAAACTCTTTATTCAACACCATACTAATCTCGATTGATTATTTATCAAACCGGCTTCGATATATCCCAAACATCCTTTCGGCACGTTAAATAATCACGATCCTTCCCCGAATCGTCACCCGGTCTTATCGCTCTCGATTGTTTAGAAAACCCGAGATCTGAAACCAAAAGGGGAACGATTTAAAAGAGCTGACGTCGAGAGGACCAGCATTCTTGTCCGAGCCTTGGACAAAGCAAGATCAGAGTCAAAATTTTAACTTATCGAAAAGATCAATCCTTTATCGAAAGTCTTGAAAAGGATCATCCAACAGACACCTTGTTTCCGCCAAAGGAGAACTCCTCCGACCCACTACTGCCGACCAAGGAAGAAGTGGGCGGATTCATAGAAGTTAAGTACTTTGAACTCATATAATTTAAGATTAAAATTTAAACGTTCGACAGGTACTATACAATTAATAGTAAGGTGTCAATTATTATTTGTTTGCTCTGCGTTGCCAGTTAAAACTTCTCGTTCTTAGGAAATACTATTAAAGTGATATACAACTGATCATGAGCCGAGTAAAGCAAAGCTAACGTCATGGCGAAACGATCATGCACAAGGTCGAATCGATAGAGTAGGTCTTAAGTTGCGGTTTCATAGTGTAACCGTGCTCCATACAACAAGAAGTGGTTGCAACTAATTGTACAGAAGGGTGAGAAAGAACTGAGACACTCAGTGGGTTAGTAGAAAATAATAAATAAAATCATTTATTCAAAATTGATATTGTTACTGCTCCGTCGTACATTTATGGAATTCGTCAACGGCTCACCAGAAAGATGCATAAAGAAAAGCAAGATAATAATTATTCGCTTGAATTGACGCTTGAATTACGCTTGTAGATCTGGAACACCAAAGTAAAGATGAAGCTTTTCGTTGATCACGCACTTATCGCGATTGACTAATTGAATTTGACGAATGCAACACGTTTAATGAGAGACCGTTCTACGACAATTCACGATTCGCGATTTAAAAAGATTGAATGTACGCGGAAAATGAAGCTAATACGAAAAATTCACGCGAGCAACGGGTTAAAATCGAAAGAGAAAAGGATAGAATTTTAAGAGTGTTAAGATTTAACGTGCGCGTCTCTGAGTCTTTATCCCGAAATCGGTAATTTACACCTTCACGACACTCTGCCTTGCTACGCGGAGGACTTTGCCAAGCAGAAGTTACGCGATATTCTAAGATAACTCTGTCTCTCGGACGCACGGGCTCCCGTCACGTACTTATACAATTGATCGACCAATAGTGAAAAATTTCGATCGCGATCGTCACCTGAAGGGCTCGTCGCGCGAATGACTTTCTGCGTGGGGACGTTTCGACAAATCGGGGTGCGTGACGTGCGCGGTGATTGGCTGAAAATTTCGCGCTAGACGAGAATTCTCTCTCTTTTCTTTGGTGTTACTTTCCTTCTTGTTGTGGTTAGGGTATATTAAATGAATGAATCGCAAATGGTTTGATATAAAAGAAAATGAAAGTATATATATTTAATTATAAGAAAAAGAAACGAATACATGTAAGATACATCCTTTTACTCTGAAGGATCACGATAGACTGACTGGCCCGGGCAACGCCAGCAGCAGTCCGGTGACGCATTTAAAGAACAAGAAACTACTTCAAAAAAAATACGCCGCCTTCGAGACGTCTAGAACGCTCGATCACACATATCACACACATGTTAATATAGACGAGGATATTCATTGCATCGACAGATGGAATATTTCAACACATCCGTAAAGCGTCTGACTGCTAAACCGCTGGGAACTTCTTTTCGTAGGTTCGAGTCCACTCAGATTCAATCTTTTTTTTTTTGGAAATACATTTTTTCAAACTTCTACCTACATGATAATCGTTAATATACTTGTTGTCAAAAATATGTATCCGGTGGATGGCATTGCGGGCGGTGTGCGTGGGGAGTGAAGTTGGTAGCATTGTCGCGTGGCGATCTAGCATGTATGGTTCATCGGTGCGAAATTGAACGATCACTTCGGATATCGATCGGCGCCATTAAAGTTTTTTCTTTTATGTTCATATCAGAGGTTCTATCGACATTGTGTTATATTTATAATGCGCTATATACCAAAGGATGTATTTTGTTTTCTTTTGTCACATAATTAAAGTTCAGAAGTGTTAAACAGTAATTATAAAGTTCCTTTTCGTAGTTCGTATTTCTAATACTTGTTTACAAATGTTTCAATAATATTTTTTTAATATTTTTATCTGTAATATACATAAATACCATTTTGAAGTACTTTCTATTCTACCGTTTCTCTTGTCATGTATTTTGTCAGTTACAGTATTGTTTAATATTTGTCACTATCTTTAACAATTCTGGATAAGTAGTTTGAAAAAACTGGATAAGTTTGAAAAAATGTATTTCCAAAAAAAAAAGATTGAGTCTGCAAGGAAAGGCCGCGAAGTGTCCCCCTTCGATTTAGATGAAACTTCGTACATTTGTTAAGCAGGTAAAAATAAGGGACACGTATTTTTTTATATCGGCTGAGACGCGACTTTAAGGGGTGAAACCACCCCTCAAAGTTTCAACCTGAAACTGCTATCTCGAAAACCAAAGAAGATACGTGTAAACTTCTAATGGGCGGATTTAATGGTTTTTTATATACAATAATATGGCGTTAACAGATTGTCGAAAATACCATTTGTTTATAACAAAAAAAATGTTTATAACATTATTTTACAACTTATTTAAATTTATGTAATGACAAAAAATATAGAGCATTTTATTCCAAATTGCCTCCTACAGTTTCGCAGATTTTTATTGTTTATATCTCGCGCGAATGCCCGCTGAGTCAGCGCGTGATACTTTAATCGTACCTGACGTTATACCGATATTATTTATCCGCGTAAGTGGAAAACAACTATTTTTATAACATACAATGGTTAATCTTGTTAAATTTGTATCGCATGATATAAAATAATTAAAGTTATGCATACTCGATGGTAGATGTATTAAATTGATAATTTTAATATGCAACAAGTGATTTGTATAACTTAAGGAACATACTCGTGACAAAAATGATAATCATCGAAGAAATGCTTCAAACATAAAGGCTTTCGGTACCAAGCACAAGTAATAATAGCCATACGTGGTTTATTTTCAGATAGATAGTAAATACTTCTAATTGTTTATTATCTGATGCAGGTTTTTCCATATGTCCACTACAGTATCCACTCAACGAATGGAATAGTAAAGCGATTGTTTATGAAACATTTACTTTAAAAATAAAAATATCTTGTAACCTATGTGACCTTCGCTTGTATAATCTTATAAATTTTTGTTATTTATATGCAGAATTCTCACCAATCGCGCTTCGACCACGTGATTTATCGTATAGCAATGAGCCAGAATACGTATATAAAATCGGTGAATGCAGTGACTTTTTACTTTGTCCAGTATTTGAATTCAAGACGTTTAGTTACCGAGACGAATAGAAGTTTACTATTGCCAAAACTTATTCTGCACAATGGTTTATATTGATCCGATAAATGTGTTTACTTTATTATCCATAGCTTTTAATTCTGTGGATAAAAAAGTGACGCCTGTTAACAGTGCTGAGTTAGAGTTAAAAGACATTTTATATGACATAATCGTGCAACGTATGGAAGATCCAACATTCAACATAGAACAAGAAACATATTTAGACATTGAAGAAGAGTTTGCAAACGGTGAAGATCCTGATGTAAATTTCCAGTGGCTGCAAGAAACGGAAATGGACCTAACGGAAACGGACCTTACTGATGAAGAGGAACAAGATCAACAACTAGAAAAATGTACGCTCTCCGAAGCACCAACCAGTTATGAATACAGAAAAAATGCTGTGGAATACTGGAAGAGTGGTAAGACAAAACGTTTGAAATTAGAAACAGTGCAATCTAGATTCAAAATGGTCAAGTCTATTCGGCAGTTACGCAGATGGGCTGCCCAAGTCGAAATGGGTGGCACACGTTTAGATAAATTACTGCGTATTGCAGATTATACATACAAAAATGTTATACAAGCAATACGGTCAAATATAATAGTACATGACATAGATATTCGACGGTGGGCGTTACAAGCAAAATTAGAAGAAGATTTAGCATCATTTACAGCTGGCCGTACATGGCTGTTAAAATTTAAAAAAGCATATGGCATAGTATCGCGAAAAGTTACGAAGTTTGTGACGAGGCCCAGTATCGATAAAGAACCAGAACTGATTTCAAGTTCTCATAATTTTCTGGAGCGTGTTAAATCCTATACCGATCGTTACGGATTTGAGAATTTGTATAATTCGAATCAAAGTGGTTTCAACCTCGAACTACATTCTGGACGAACTTTGGCGTTGAAAGGTACGAAGAAAGTAGAAGCTGTAATACAGTCAATTCCATCCACTACTCATAGCTACACTATACAACCTACAATATCTGCAAGCGGAAAACTGCTATCTCCTCTCTTCGTCGTGTTAAAGGAAACATCTGGAGAGTTTGGACCTAGGGTACAGCAGACTATGTTTAAACCAACGAACATTTTGGCTACCGCGTCAACATTTAAAATTTGGTTAAAAGAAGTTTACTTTCCTAATACAAACGAGAAGACTGCTTCACTATTAGATTCTTGGAGTGGACATTGTAGTCGTAGTATTGTAGAAGCTACACCGGAAAATAAAGAATTACTAGTATTTACGATTCCAGCAGGGACTACAAAATGTTTACAACCATTAAACGTGCACGGATTTCGTGTATGGAAAAATTTTGTTCGCCGGTTTTCGGACAGTCATCCTATTACATTATGAGATTAATCTCCACACGAGGGACAATATTTTAAAACTTCAGTCGCTGGCTCATAATCAATTTTCTTCCCTACGATTTGAAAACTTTATTAAATATTCATGGTATAAAAGTGGATGTGTATCATCGAGACCACCTCATTTTGAAAATCCCGTGGAGTTCTGCTATGCTGTAGATAATGAACCACGATGGCACGTATATGGTGATGTGAATATTATTACCTGTGCTTGGTGCCGAAAGCCTTTATGTTTGAAGCATTTCTTCGAAGAGTATCATTTTTGTCACGACTATGTTCCTTAAGTTATTCAAATTCCTTGTTGCATATTAAAATTATCAATTTCATACATCCACCATCGAGTATGTATAACTTTAATTATTTTATATCATGCGATACAAATTTAACAAAATTAACCATTGTATGTTATAAAAATAGTTGTTTTCCACTTATGCGAATAAATAACATCGGTGTATAACGTCAGATACGATTAAAGTATCACGCGCTGACTCAGCGGGCGTACGCGCGAGTCATAAATAATAAAAATCTGCGGAACTGTAGGAGGGAATTTCATAAACATATATATAAATGGATTTGGAATGAAATGCTCTACATTTTTTGTCAACACATAAATTTAAATAAGTTGTAAAATAATGTTATAAACAATTTTTTTGTTATAAACAAATTGTATTTTTGACAATCTGTTAACTCCATATTATTGTATATAAAAAACCATTAAATCCGCCCATTAGAAGTCTTCACGTATCTCTTTTGGTTTTCAAGATAGCAGTTTCAGGTCGAAACTTTGAGGGGTGGTTTCACCCCTTAAAGTCGCGTCTCAGCAGATATGAAAAAATACGTGTTCCTTATTTTTACCTGGTTAACAAATGTACGAAGTTTCATCAAAATCGGAGGGGGACACTTCGGTGCCTTTCCCCAAACTGGTTTTCCGCAATATTGTTCTTTTTAATCGCTTCAAGAAGCCTCTCTTTAATAATACAGGGTGTCCCGTAAAGAGTGTTAGTCCTTTGAGGGGGTGGTAGCTGGGGTGATTCTGAACAACATTTTCCTTTGCGAAAAAGTTGTTTGAAGCTTCGTTTTTGAATTATTGAACATACTGACCACACTGACCAATTCGACCGCGTATAGCGCGCGGGCTTAGGGACGGCAGCGTTGGCTGCGACAGCCGGGCTTGACGTAGGTCGCGTACAGATTATTATAACATGTTCATCGTTTATGCCCAGTGCGAGGGCAACGCGGAACTCGCGGCTCTGCGGTATCGGGAAAAGTATAGCACAACAGAAAATGCACCAAGTGCTCAGTGTTTCCGGAGGCTGGTCTCCCGGGCACATGCCACTGTCTCGCTGGTGCCTCAGCGGAAGGAGATGGGTCGCACCACACGAACTTCTCCGCTGCAGGAAGAGGAAATCCTGGAGCAATTTAATCAGGATGGCACCCGCAGTATACGCGATGTCAGCCGGCGCACTAAGTAAGTTTTCATATGCAATGGATTAAAATGTTATAATAAAAGTATAATAATTTTAATATGAAAATTTATATTTTCTATTCATATTTTTTTTAACTCTTCTTTTAATATGCATTATTCCTGTTTCATTTCAGCGTAAGCCGCACAATAGTTCACAGAATCCTCAGAAATCAGGCGATGGATTTTCCCCGGCGGATGGAATATTCCCAGTGGTTGCGGGGAAAAATCGCGCGGAATCCATCGTTTTGCCGGTATGTTTTGTGGACAGACGAAGCCCTCTTCACACGGGAGGGGTGCTTTAATGCTCACAACTCACATCTGTGGAGGGATGCGAATCCTCATGCGATTCGTCCACGAGCAGCGCAACACCACTGGTCAATCAATGTATGGGCCGGAATTTGTGGCGATTTTGTTGTTGGGCCGTACATTCTGCCAAACAGATTGGACGGCCCAACATACAGTGTTTGTAGAAGATGTTCTCCCGACTCTTTTGGAAGAAATTCCACTAGAAATTCGGTGGTACATGTTCTTCCAACACGACGGTACGCCAACCCATTACGCCGCAAATGTTCGGACCCATCTAAACCAAACTTTCAGGACAGGTGGATTGGCCGCGGTGGTCCTGTTCCGTGGCCCCCGCGATCACCGGATATGAATCCGTTAGATTTTTATTTTTGGGGGTATTTAAAGGTACGTTTACAGTTATTTATACGTGCCACTTCTTAACAATAAACATGAACATTTAATTATGTTTTTTAATAATTATTTCAGAACGAAGTATACAGAAACCCCATCAATTCCCGGGATGAAGCAATTGCACTTATCCACGGTGCCGTTGCAGCAATCACTCCGGAGACACTAAGCCGAGTGCAAAGCAACATACTCAAAAGAGTAACAACCTGTGTGGAGGCCCAAGGTGGGCGCGTGGAGTTCTTTCTCCATTAGAAAAATCGGCCCCTTTCGAGGCCACCAATTTATTTAACGTAGATCAATTCATTCATATGAATTGGTTCATTAAAACAATCGGCCCCTTTCGGGGCCACCATTTCTTCAAACTTAAGTGTAACAACGTAAGTGATAGTGAAAGTGCAGTGAGAGTTCATTGCCCCGAGTTTGAAATCAGCTGTTCTGCACACGTGTTTGTCAGTGGGAATTATTTGCTTTCAGCGTAGCAGGTTCATTTAGGAACGAATGGGTAAGTTTCATTTAAATTGTTTTCAAATTTTTCATCATTAACGTAACCTCCAATTCAAACGTTTATTAATTATACCATTTGAATCATTTTTATTTGTTGTTTAGAATGCTTAGAATTTCCTTTTTTACATTTTGACAGACAACAAGAGATTAGGTTCCGTATTCATTTTAAACAACTAAACAACTAAAAATGTTCAACCAGTTCAATTTTTTTATTGTGCTATGCGAACGGGGTGCCGAAAGTATTCGTACGCGACCTACGTCAAGCTTGGCTGTCGCAGCCGACGCTGCCGCCCCTGAGCCCGCGCGCTGTACGCACTCGGATTGGTCAGTGTTTTTCGTTAATAATTCAAAAACGAAGCTTCAAACAACTTATTCGCAAAAGAAAATGTTGTTCAGAATTACCACCCCCTCAAAGAACTGACATTCTTTACGGGACACTCTGTATATTCGAAAATTTTTGCTACATTAGATGTTATACACAAAGGTCTAAACTCAGATGGATTTATTTTTCTTTGAATATTACCACTATCTTTATTCTGTTTTACCTTTGGTAGTAGCACGAGTCTCGTCATCTTCCACTCATTTGGCCAGTAACCATTTTCATAGCACCCATTTAGAAATCCTGTCCAAAATTTCACGGCCCCCAGTCCCGTTACTCTGGCAGCCATCGCAGGGATACCATCCTGGCCTGGTGCTTTTCTCACCTTACTCATATTACACGCGTCCTTTACCTCGCCTTCAGTAATAGCCTCTTCGTTTCCGTTATTTTCTATTTCCGTGACTTCATCCCTATGATTTGAACAATCATCCACCGCCTGATCTACCACATGCTCAGGTGGTTGTAGGATAAAAAGACCCTTTACAACCTCCCTAGTCTGTACCAGATCAAGAACAACCGGAGGTGTGCTCGGCTTGAGCTGCTTCATAACAACTTTATATGGCCTCCCCCGTGTCTCACCCTCTACCGTCTCTATCAATTTTACCCAGCTTTCTCTTTTCGCTCTTCTAATAGTTCTATTCAATTCAATTTTTTCTTGTTTATACGCCCTTACTAATTTATTTATTTCTTCCGTTTCGACCTCACCCCTTCTTCTGGCCCCAGTGACCCCCCTACGACATTTATTTACACTCTTTCTTAGTCTAGCTATATCGGAATTCCACCAGTGAACCGGCACCTTCCCTGGTCTTCTGTTCGTTATCCCACTACATCTAGTACCTAATTCCCGTAGTTCTTCCATCGTCTTTCTAAGATCTTGTATGGTTTCCCATGTCCCCGGAAAACTATCTCCTACCTCCCGGGCCCCATACTTTTCCAGAAAATTTTCAATATATTTTTTCCCATCGATACTTCTTTTTCCCTCACTAATCTTTCTCTTTTTATTTCCAGGTACCAGTAATTCAACCACATGCCACATGTATAAGTGATCCGACCCCGTGTGATCAGGTAGTATGAAACTTTTCTTTACTTTATCATTCAGGTCAGTATTAACTAACATCAAATCTATTTTAGTTTCCTCACCTCTTATACAAGTATTTCCCCCTTCCGTATATACTGATAATAGGCTATTGCCCGTCATAAATTCTATTAATTTTTTCCCTCTAGGGTTCCATGTACTGCCCGACACTAGCAATTTACTATTAAAGTCGCCACCTATTAGGACTCCGGACCATTTCTTTAGCTTAATTAATCCTGCGACTACATGTAACCTCTCATCTACAGTATCCGGATCAATATTTGGGGATAGATATATACTAATAATTAATAAATTATTATATTCAATTGCTATCATGCCTATACTACGCTTAACTACGTCAGTTTTCCTTCCCTTCACTATTCCACTATTTGTGATCCAAAGAGCTGCATCACCCGTTGCGTCTATATACCAGTAACTCTTACTCATCTTCTTATTTTGTTCAGTCATAAACACAAGGTCCGGCATTCTTTTCTCCACCGTCTTGTTTAAAAGATCGTGCGCAACTTTGCATCTATTTAAATTGATCTGTAGTACGTTTAGCGTGAATTTAGCCGATTTTTACTCCGCTTATCGCTTCTTTATATTGTTTAGATCTAAGTGTGCCTGCAATGTGATTAAGGTCTTTTTCCAGTAATCCCTTTGCCGCGCATAGTATACACCTTGTTTTTTCTGCTTTACATTCCGACATCGTATGAGTTTTATCGCCATACCTTCTACATATCGCGGAATCACCCTCTACAGCCACACATCTTGCGGCCGCATGCCCAAAATTATGGCATTTATAGAACCTCATTATAGTAGGTAACTGTCTGACCCTGCAGTAGACCCAACCTATCTTAATTTTATTGTCCCTTATTTTCATCAGTAAGGCCGCGTTCAGACTATGCAATTTAGTTGTACAACTTTCCGTGCAACTTCGGGTCCGAATTTTTGTGTTTCTGGTCGTGCCTGTACCAGGTATGCCGCCCGAAAAAGGAAATGATTTTCTCTTGTAGAAATACCAACTTCCGCATTTTTTATCAGATCTTTGCGGAAGCGACGTCAATCGATTCCTTATGTTTTTGCGATCATAATGAACCCAAACGCGACATAAATTGGACAATAATTAACCAAGTTACGTGAAAAATCTAAATGCATAGTTAAAAGCCAATTTCGTTAAAAGTAGTCCGGTTTACGTGATATGGGGTATCATTTTAATTGGGAGAACACCAGCAATCCATTAGTACCACTTTCATACCGATGCGGTGAAAAATAAAGAATTTGATGTTTTGAAAAATTGACACGGTCGCGACTGCACAATTTCCGTCCCTGCAGCCATGAGCCTCTCGGCACGGTGCCTAACACCTTCAGCTAGGACGAGACCTAACCCTAACTTAAACTTAATCCTCCTTTTAGTCGCCTCTTACGACAGGCAGGGGTTACCGTGGCTGTATTCTAAACCCCCCAGCCACAGAGAGGCACTCGCTTACACCTAACGCAATCTAAACGAAAACCTGTCGTCGAGTTCCTTATTTAACAAACTATTTGACTAGAAACGAAGCACCGACTCGTCTCTCCGTCTATCAGGACTCGCTTATACATTTTCCTTAATCTCGTGGATTATTTAATAAACAGAAGGAAGCGATACGATATTTTGTTCAAGATACCTTGTTCATTTCGAGAGTCAGTCCTGGTTCATTCGTTATCGGTTGCAGTTCGAGTATCGGGAATGGTGCTGTGAATTTTATTGTTTTATGTGTTTTTATGATAATTATCACATATTGGAATGTAAAAAATAAAAAAAAATAAAAAAGTCGACTTCCCAGTTAGCAATCTGCATGCAGATTCCCAGATAGCAATTCGCATGCAGATTGGCAGCAGATTGGCAACAGACTCTGGTAGAATCTGTCTACAAATCCATAGCCATCTGTTTCCGCATTTGGCTGCGTTTCTGCAAACAGATCTTGCCGACAGAATCATATAGCAGATTGGCGTCAGAAACCGAGCAGATCCTGCTAACATAACCTGTTGCCAAATTGGCGACAGAAACAAAACAAAGTCTGCGCGCAGACTGTGATAGCTGATTTGCGGCAGATTGGCAGCAGATCCTGCAACTTCAGCCATTTAAATTTTAAATGGACGCGCATATACTGGGATTTAAATGAGCTCTTTAAATAATTATTATTACTTATTTTTGAAGGGAAAAAAGGAAATATCACAATATTTTTATTTTATTATTAATATATGTGCTAGTTATTATGAACGTGGTATAAGTCAAAATTTTTCAGTTATATTGGTTAAACGGCATAATACATAAGAACTGACAAGTTCAATGTTTTTTACATTTCCATTTACACCACTTTCATAATAACTGACATCCATACTAATATTATAAATGCGAAAGTAACTCTGTCTGTCTGTCTGTTTGTTACCTTTTCACGCCTAAACCGCTGAACAGATTTCGATAAAACTTGACAAGGAGATAGATTGCATCCTTAGGAAGGACATAGACTACCTTTTGTTTTCCAAAAAAAAAACTTTTTAAAAATAAAAAAAAAAGCAGATTTTTGTGAGCTTCAAATATGTTATAGAGCAGGCTTCGGAATTAACTGCTCTTCTCGGCTGATTTTCAGATGTCACGCCTCTTTTCCCCCACCGCGCGTCTTGGCCCCCGCGGCGACCGTAGTGCTTGGGTAACCTCAAGCGCGTATCATATGAATCGCGCGTAGGGCGACAACCGTAATAATAGATTTCCACATCACCCATGAGGTACTATTATCGATGCGTTGTTTTTTGTCACGCGCGATTCTAATGATACGCGCCTGAGGTTACCAAAGCACTACGGTCGCCACGGGTGCCAAGACGCGCGGCGGGGGAAAGGAGGCGTGACATATGAAAATCGGCAGAAAATAGCAGACTGTTATAGAGGACCGAATTTTAATTTTAATCCTTACTATATAATATATAAAAGTGAAAATGCTGATCGTTTTTTCTTCCTTCACGTTTAAACGGCTAAACAGATTTTAATGTAATTTGCACTATTGTACAGCTTATTCTTTCAAGATGGACATAGGCTATGTCATATTGTTATATTGCGATTCGATATGTTTTTAACTAACAAGGAAGCATTAAAGGATTGGTTTGGTAAACCAAGCGTAAACGTAGAAAGGGACAGACAGTGGAGGAGAGAGAGAGAGTTATCCAATGATCAAAGGAAAGAGCCGAAACTTATCGGTGTGACTAAACTAATTGAATTATAAAACTTTTTTATTTTTGACTTTTTTAAAATGAAACTTTTACTATCGTATTGATGAAATTTTTTTGATTAAAATGATACCAAACACCGTCGGTATCATGTAATTTGCACTACGTCGGTATGATGGGATTCGTTGAGTAGAAGTTGCATCGGATAATGAATAAAAAAAAGAAAAGAATAATTATATCGAATTATTGATTACTCATGAACAACGAATCCTATTACACCGACGTGGTGCCGATGCACTTGATCACGACCGCGCGGAACATACCCAACACTCTCGTGGTTCGGCCCGCGCTAACGGCGCGCTCTGATTGGCCAGTGTTTTTCGATAATATCTCGAAAACGAAGCCTTAACCAACATTTTGGCAAAGGAAAAAGTTGTTTAGAATGACCTCACCAATCATCCCTTTTCCGTTCCTACCCCAGTTCTGGGACACCCTGTATACATTTCTTGTAATATAACATAACCAAGGGAAGAATATTCCTACAAATCGAATGCTTAAGGTTAGTTTGTTTTTAAAATAATATGTCCCGATATGGTACTCCGAAATATACATATAAGTGGTATCAAATCTTTTTCCGAAGTACGAATGTTTAGGAATAAGAACTATATAAATGTGATAGGAACGCAGTATATTTATTTTTGAATAACATGAATTGTAATACTATGAACGAAATAAAAAGAAAATGATAAATTGTAAAATAAAATTGTTGATAATTAATAAATTGCTATTAATTGATAATGCATTTACTTTATTCAATAAAAAAAATAAAAGATACTATAAACATTTGTCATGTATCCAGTATATGTACATTTATATACAATCTTCGTCATGATCTGATTGTGAAAAATGAATGTATATATACATAATTCACACTTTTCCTTTTTGGGGGGATATAGGAAAGGGACGGGTACAGTTACTAAAGTAACTGTAAACAAAATATATAATAAAAAATAAAATATTTTATTTGACATTACACAGGATAAGGAATATGAGAATAAATGAGAAAAACGTAACTTGCGGAAAATATTGTTGTTGTTGTTAAGTTTATTCGATCCCTTTCGGGTTTCTGAGGCGCTTTTTACAGGAGCGTTCCCCAACCTGTTATGCCGGGTCTACACTGGATAGAAATGTTCGCGAACAGTTCTCGAGCTGTTTGCGAGCTGTTTGCGAACAGTTCGCGAATAGAATTCACACCTAAGCTCAGACATAGTTCGTGAACAGCTCGCAAACGGAACGCAAACGGTTGCACAATTGTTCGCTGGCTGATGACGGAACTGCGAACGGTCGTCAAATTCAACAGAAATATGTTACAACGCGTCCAGACATGTTTCGAGTTCGCAAACAGACTCTTTGATGTACCGCCTCCTTAGCGAACAGTGTTCGCTGTTCGCTGACGAGTTCGCTGCTACCTGCTCGCTGTTCGCGAAAGTGTCCACATTGCTGGCGAACATGGCCCGCGAACTGTTCGCGAACAGCAGTGTGGACCCGGCATTACATAATCTTTCTTCTCTCTACTTTCTACAATCTTTCCCTATCTGTCCTTATCCTTTTCTTTTTCTTTCTTCCCTTACTCTATATCTACATAACGTGTAACAACCGCAGGAACATGATATAAAGCGATACACAAATATAAACTATAATATCTTTGAGTTATAATAAAATTAAAACACAAAAAGAAATATATTGTGGTCTCCTCAACTGAACTTTTCTTAACCTATGTTAACATCAAGTCACCTTATTCTCTTTCCTTACTATTAACTAAACTTGTACTTTGTACTATCAAAAATGAAACAGAACCTAACTCTAACCAAGACTAAATACTCCAAAAAGCAAAATAAAAATAAATACATAATCTCTTTACCTATCCATAGTAACATTAATACTGATAAAATACTGATAAAATTAAAAATTATAATTATAGTATGTATAAAAATAATATAAGTTTTCTGCCACTAGGCGTATTCTTCTGTAAAATAACCAAAATCTCATAATATCAAAAGTAACGTAATAACAAAAAATCAAAATAACATAAAATAATCGTCTATTCATGAACTACCAAAAAGATAATAGCTTTTTAATCCTTTCATTCTTCTCTCTTCGGACCTCTTCTTCTCCTTGTTGTCCTGTTTGTCCTTTCTCTTCCTGTTATTCCTCTTCCTTTGGTTTTCTTTGTACTTCCTCCTCTTCTTCCCCTCTTTCTCATCGCTCTCTTCTTACTTCGTGGCCCTTTCCAACCTTTCCCTCAGTGTCACTTTTTCCCACCTCTTTTTGTCTTCCCTCCACTTTATTTCTATTCCCTCCACCCATATTCTTCTGCTATTACAGTAATGCTTCGAAATAAGCAAGTGGCTCGGGACCGAACAGTTGCTTATTTCGAAGCAGGTACGCTATTCGGCTTGACTTTGTTCTCGAAACGGGACGATAGAGAACGCGAGAAGCGAGTGAGAGAACCGAGGTAGCGGCAAATCATAAAGTGATCGGCCGAGCAGGGATGTTATTTTTTGAACAAGGATAGAATATAGCATGCCCTCTCATTCTCGCACTATGCTTTATTTCGAAGCAAATATACCAGACTGAGAAAGCATTATATATATTCCATCCTTCTTCTACTAACCGATGTCACTGCTCAGTCAAGCGTGAAATTTATTACCCTAAACATCGGCTTCGCGCTTTCATGGACCTCTCACTCATTTCTCGTACCTCTCACTTTGCGGGCGACTTCAAACAAAAAAGAGGGGATAGCGACTTGCTTATTTCGAAGCAGAGACCACTTGCTTATTTCGAAGCATTACTGTATATAGAACACTTCTACCTTCTTCTTTCTCCTTTTTCGCTTTTTCTTTTATCAGCCACTTGAGTCTTCTCTCTTCCTTGCTCAAATCCTCATCTATTTCCACCCTCCACCTTTCCCATATCCCGTTCCTCATCCATACCATTTCCTTCTTTTTATCTTCCTCCTCTAATTCTGTGATTACTATCACTCTTCCCCCCTCCCCTTCCCTCTCTGTCACTCCTTTTATTGTTATCTTTTCTCCTAGTTCTTTCTCTAGGATTACCCTAATGTGCTTCAGCCTTTCTTCTTGATTTTTCCCTTCCACCCCTTTCCAGACTAGACTTTTCCCTCTTCTTATGCTCTTCCTTCTTTCTTCCTCGCTCAGCCATCGCTGTCTTCTTTCCTCTTCCTCCTTCTTCATCTTATATGCTTCTTCTCCTCTTGCCCTTTCTTCTGCTGACACTGCGCCTCCTTGACTTTCTTCTTTCGTATTCTTAATGTTCCTTTCCTCACTGTTTCTTTTTTCTTCGTTTCCACTCTCTTCCTTTCCTTTGTTCTTCTCCTCTGTGATCTCCTCTGTGTCTTTTCCCTTATCCCTCTCTTTCTCTCTCTCGCCGGTTTCCTCTTCTTTTGGTCTTCTTTCCCCTAACCTCCAACTTCTCAGCTCTTCTCTTAATTCTGCCACTTCCTCTCTCAGCTTTCTTATTTCCCTTCTTAACTCCGTTACGCTGTCCATCTCCCCTCTTTCTTCTTTAGTCTTTTTGCTTTA